CTAACTTGCGAGTCTTGAAAAGTCCTTTCCGCCACCCCCCACCCCGACTGTATGCTCTGTTCTGCGTACCTTGGGTAGCTGCGTTTGTCTTTTCTTTTGGGGTTTTTTTTTTGGATGTTTTATGGAAAAGGACAATTCAGCGAAGTCGAACAGAGAGTCAGGGTGTTTTTTGCAAAGCTGCTGGAGCGGCCAGCAGAAATGATAAATGGGCAGTTTGAAGCAGCATCAATAATGAAGCATGTTATGCTTGCCTTTTTTTTTTTTTTATGAGCTGTTTTTAATCTGTGAAAGCCAAGTTGGATGAGAAATGAGAACTTAAAATATTTAGAACAGTCTAAGATTTTTTTTTTTCTCAAAGAACGCCTCTGCAGAAAGCCAGGAACGTTTAAGTTGACTTATAAGCATGACTGACAAGGTTAGCACGTTCAGGAAGCCTCAGGAAACCCAATTTTTCCCTGAAGCGAAATAACTTCCTGTTTTTTTGGTAAGCTAGCTTACTGGATCTTTGGAAGAACGTGCTTTCGTTTTAGGTTTCGAGTTTATAAAAGTGAAAGATTTCCATAGAATTTGGTAGTATGCGAGTTGCACATCATAACTAAACTTAAAAAGCTATTTTCTGTCCAAATGAAACATAGAAGCAGTCTTACCCCTTCACGTTTGTGTGTTGCTGCAGTTTTCCAGACGAGTTCACGGTGCCGTTCAGTAGTCACCAAAACATTCCACGTATGGAAAGAAGAACGTGTTACAATTATAGCACCCAGAGAGTTCATACACCCGCAATTATTGTACAAGAACTGTGTTAGTGTCTACAGTGGAATTTTTTGGAAACAACTTTTTAACGCAGAGAAAATGTCGCATTTTGTTACGTTATTAATACTCATTCTTGTGGATTTTTTTAGAGTTTACTTTGCTCTCTCTCCAGTACTCGCAGTCAGTGCTTATTTTCTGGAAGGAACTGCTATTGAGTGATATGATTTGACACTTATGGATCATTCCATTCACATGAGTTAACGTTCAGTGTTTCACAACAGCTCTGTAATGTTCCTGCTTTCCTGTCGTCAGGAAGACGCTTCCTAATAGTATTGAGTAGTAGCAACTGTAATTGTCTTGGGAGGAGAAAAATTATGATCAGGGGGAAGGGTTGTTTCTTAGCCTGGCTTCTTGAAACAGCAGGTGTTGGGAAACTCAGTCCTATATGTGACCATTGGCCCTGCTGCCTCAATAGCTTTTGAATCCATTGATTGATATTAAATAAATCTGACCGTGAAGCAGAGCACTTAAGGATATTAAGCTTTCACAAGTTCTCTAAAATCAGGAGCTACTAGAGTGAGAGAGAGAGATCTTTTCAGTGACCTGATTGAGGAAACTGCAGGGAAAATTCAGCCCCTGCCTACAGTGTTGCAAAGCAGCAGCCAGCTGTCTGGTCAGTACGTACTAGTGTAGGTAATGAGAAAGACTCCAAACCGTCCACCCTGCAGGCTGCCTCTTGCTGTGTTGGCAGGCTGAACAAAGGTGGATTGGAAATGTAGGAGAGGGGGATTGAACACTTGAGAAGGAAGAGGAAATGTAGTTCAGTGGGAGTGTATGGTGAATTAAAGGTATTGTACTTGGAAATGGAGACACTGACGGGAAGGAATCGAGGGTGCAGGAGATAAATCAGAGGAAAACAGGCTTCCTTAGGTTTGCTACGCTTGAAGACTTTTACGTGAAGAGAGTTTTGAATGTCTTCTCTTGCTTAAAAGGAAATGGTACTGTTTCCTTGTGATATATTGACTTCTAAACAACAGTGTTGTCCCGTTGCTTCTTTTTTCCCAGGAGAGCATGCTGTGGTCTAGAAGAGTTTTATTTTGTTAGTTCAGTCCAGTTTGGAGCTACCCACAAGAACGCCAAAAGGGGGAATGATTTGTCCTACGTGTATTGACGTAGGATGCTCGGAGGAGTTTCAGAGTTGCACTGATCACTAAGCCCTCTTCCGAACATAGCAATCTTGCTTGTATCTCTGAATCTGACTGCAGGATGCAGGACAGGTGCTGGATACGCCTGTGCTAGCTATTGTCGTTCCTAAAGTGGCCATCAATCTAGAAAAGGAAGTTTGGAGCTCAATACAGGCTGTGAAACCAACATGAGAAACTCATATTTGCACAGTAGTCTGCTGGCAGCTTGTGACTGCTGTGGCTCAGCTGCTGCTGTTCCCTGAGAAACCTTGTCAACAGCTAGCTCAAGTGTGTTCAGTCTGTGTTGCCTTATACTTGGAGTTTGGGCCGAATTTGAATCAGTGATCAGTCTCAACATAAGATGTTCTTTTTAGGTCTCCTGGGCTATCTGGTTTCTTTGATGCATTATGCTTTTAAGTCTGCTTCTCTTACAACTAGACATAACATTTGAAATTATGAAGTTTAACATTAAAGTGTGTTCCAAAGTTGTTAGAAGTAATTTTTTAGCTGATCTGCCTATCAGGGCTGATCTGGTACAGGCATTCACAGGCAGTGTTTGCTGTCTCTCCTCACCAAAATTAGCACGTACAAGTTCTGTCATCTTTATCGTGTACTTTCCTTTTAGATTGGTTTACAGATGTGGTTGGAAAGCACTTTACTGCTTCACGTTTACCGAGTTGTTTCCCATTCATAGCCTGATGTATGAATAATGCTCATAATAACCCTAATAATACTTTGCAAATGGTGTGTTGCTTTCCTTGCAATAGATCTTTAAAGATCTTTTCTTTGATATATAGGTTCATTTCTACACTGTCTGTTCCTGTAATTTTTCTTCCTTTGCCCTTTTCCCTTGGATGATTCCTTGATGCAAAATTAACGTTCAAGGAGAGTTATGTCTTAAGTCTCCATAGTTAATGAACATAACTATTTCAAACTGTTTCATGTGTATAAACATGTGGAATTCTCTCTGTGATGATAAACATCAGTGAATATTTAGGAATATGAAGTGTTTATATATAATTTACATGTATGTATCTAAAATTAACTGTGTGGACCAAAGCTGAATCCTATGCAACTATGTAAGACAAGACCATAATGCCTAGTTATGGTCCGTTATTTACTTGCTGTTCCTTATTCATAATGGACAACTGCACGGGTAGCCCTTGAGAAGGATTTTGAGACCTTACATGCATCTGACCTTGCGTTTGTGTGTGAAGTTTAAGTATCTGTTGTGATCTTTGATTTTTTTTTTTTTCCCCCTATCATTGATCTTTTATTAGTTCTGCTGGACTCTAAAGTGATGTGCCACTACACTTTTTTTATGCTCAAAAGAGTCAAACAGAAACATACTTGGTCTGGCTGCCACATGTCGTCCTGAGTTCTGTTGTCCTAGCATGTTGCGAGTAGGTTGTACGTGTAGTGTTATGGCTACTGACAGATGTAAAAGACTAGTCTGTTATTCTTTCCATTTTGTATTTAATGGAAGCAATTTAGGGAAATGTTCTTAGCTTATGCACACCAGAAGAGCAGCAGTTTAAATTTTAATACAACGTTTTAATAATTAATTTTCATATATAGGATATAGGCTGCTCTTAAAATCTTTTTTAACTGATGATATTTGCACGCATTTGGAAAAAACTTTTTAATTCTGCAGTTCCTCACATTCTCTCTGTACCATAACTATCAGTTGTGCCCCATTCCCTTTTTTCTTTCCCTTTCCAAAAGCATTGGTCTGTGAGCACTTTCAATGCTTTGGGAACTACTCATGAAGAAAAAGGTCTTTGTACTATTTAAAAAAAACCAACACTTGTGACAGTGATCTTTTAAGGGTTTTGGGAGTAGGGACATATGTTCTAATACTGCCTTTCTCACTCTATTGCTCTGTGACCTTGACTACATCTTAAATTCTCTCCTTGGCCGACTACCTAAGCAGGATATTGGCTTAGTGTTTACGCAACGCTTTGAACATGAATAGAGTTGGAAATGTTGAATCATTGTAGGAAAATACCAATGTTGGGTGTACTAATGTCAATATAAGCACAGATGCTGTAATTTCCACAGTGCTTCTTATACTCTGACTTGTACGGGGCTTGACATTGCTATGAGCATCCCTACTAAGTAGTCACCCATCACCTTCCTCCATAGGAACATCTTCCTGCATTTGTAAAATGAGACCTAATTAAATCTGCTTTGCATATATACCAAATCAATCGTGGAATTAAAAAATTGCAAGGGTGGAGCATGATCTAATATCCTTTCTGTTCATTTGTGTAGATCTTACTCATTATAAATATTGTTCATGTCTGGGGAGAGAAGATGTTATAGGAGAAATGTGGGAATATGCAGCAACAGTTTAAGAATTTTGAGTTGTTGGAGCAAGTAGGAGTAACTGAGCATCACATTGGGAACGCGCATATTGGGACCAGTCCTGTAAAGACTTAAGGGTATGTTCAACTTCAGTAGAAATACTCACAGCCTATCTATAGGGTATAAAATTAATCACATGTTTAAATCTGTGCAGGATCAGCGTTTCAGCAGGGTGGAGTAGAGAGGAGACTGATGAAGCTTGCTGTGCCTGGAGAGTTTCCTCCAATTTCAAGCAGATAATATTTCTTCATGAAAAGGGCATGTGCTTGCGTCCTTATTGTTCTTTGTAAAGACTAATCTCAAAAAAACTTATCACAGGAGGAACATAATCCTATCAATGGAAACCGTATAGTTACTCAGTATCTTGTATTAAATAGTACAAGGATATATTTTAGTCATGGGATCTCCTTTCTATTTTAATTCTGACCAAATGTCCTGTGCCTCTGTCTTTACAGCTTCCAGCTACAGTTTTATTCTGAGCATTAGTGAAGAGGAAGCCAGGGTGAAGGCTTTGAACGAGTACCTGAGCACTCGTAGTTATATCCAGGGGTTCATATTTTCACATGCAGATGTGGAGGTATTCAGAAAGTTTTCGGGGCCACCTGAGGACCAGTATTTCCATGTTGTCCGGTGGTACAGGCACATAGAAGCAATCTATGATGGCAGCAATGAAAAAAATGAGCCTTGTAAGCTTCAAACAAGTGAGTAATATGGAATTGGTGGGCAGGTTACAATCTAGCCTACCTTGCATTGATTTATTTATTTATTCTTTTTTTTTGCTAAGAACGCCTAAAAGTACCTTTGCATTCTCTAGCTATTCTTACACACTTGAATACAAGTTGATATGGTAAATTTTTAAGGTCATGAAGTTACATACAGTTACACTGTAATTGGTGGAGCTATATGAATGTTAAAGCTCAGGTCTGTTTCTGCATTTCCTTGATTGGAAAACTCAGTGTACAGAATTTGTTATTTATATCTTCCTTAAAAAGCTAACCGCTGAATAGTGAAAGAATGTCTGTGTTTATTTTGTTTAAATAATATAATATAAAATATTAGAATTTGCTCAATCCACATTTTTTTCCTTGCAAGGGTAACTAAATAGTTCTTGTATAGTATACGAATTTGTAGTAAAATGACTACTGCCTCTGAAGATTGTTATTAACATGAGGTGAATTTTGAAAAGAACGTTTAGGGTTCTTTTAACTCTCTTGCTTTAAGGATTGCTGATGATTTGAGGAAATACTAACCGGTTAATCTAGGTCGTTGTGTAAGTATGGGTGCTGGCATTTTTGGGAGCTGCATCACTCTCCAAGATGTTTTCCAATGAGCTAATCTAATTTAATTGCTTTGTAGTGAGATCCTTGCTCAGGGAGTCACGAAATAATAATAACAACACAGGGCTGTTGTGTGGCGCTTGCAATATCTATAAATGAATGCATTATCTCTATTCTGTCATTTTTGCTGAAGGTGGTTGACTAATATCACTCCAATGCCATCTTTTCACAACTTGTCATCATATGTGTTTTCAGTTTCTACCAGACTAGCAGTTAAAATCGGACTGCTGCAAGTAGATTTTGTATATGTGTGTGTGTGCTTGCATGGGTTTGCACTGGTTATTGATTTCCTTTCATTAGCGAAGGGATCTCAGCTGCACTGCTGGCTCAGATAGCAGATTTAATGCTACTAACTACAATTCAGCTGCAGAATTTCATGGATTAGGGTGGAGCAATAGAAGAAAAGGTTTCTGTCTTCCTGTCCGTTATATCTTTGATGATAAGTCTCTCTGTTTCTGAAGGCTCGTGTCTTGTTATCTTTACCATCTATGCATGTGTCACAGAAGTCCTGAATGGGTGTTCTGCAGTGTTCAGTATGCAAATGACATACCAATTGGCCATGTTTTGTAGAACTTGGATATTATTATGTCAGTGGGATTTTGGGTGCATTGGAGAGCTCCAGAGGTGGATTAGAGCAAACGGACTTCAGTTCAGCCAGGGAAAGACTATTGCTCACAGCATGTATTTGAGCAGACTAAAGAGTACACCTCCTGCTTCCTCCTTGGTGTTCACGTAGCAGGCAGAACACGGCACTTAACTCTGCTGCTGAGAACTTTAGGATGCAGCATCTGTTTTTGTTTTTTTCTCTTATGTTTAGTGTGGTTGTAAGTAATAAAAGATAAATATGTAAAGCTTTCTTTATGCTAATCCACATAGGCTTTCTTCCCTGAGGGAAACTTGAGCCACAAATAAGCATGCCAGTGTAATCTTTGTAAATAGTAAACAGATCCATACCTTGATATGGTCTGCGTTATGGATAGACTACTCTTGCACTTGAAGCGTTATGTTCAAGTACGAACAATAAAATGTTTAGAATAAGTACATATTTCTGTGGATCCATAGCATGGAGTTAATATCTTTTGTCTAGTTTAGGCAGTTACTGAAAAAAGGAAGGTGAGGAAGAGTGTTTTTTTTTTTTTAATCCATTTACATTAGTTGTATTTTTTTCAGTCAAAATGTTCATATAAAGGTATCGGGGAAACAGAGTTAATGAAGAACGTCCTGAGATGTTGGATCAGCAAAGGCAATTTTATTGTCAAAACAAACAGTTTTATAATATTTTAATTGCAATTAAAAAGCATACCATAAGAATTCTTAAAGATGGTACTGTATATGTTAGCCTGAAAACCTTGCTGCATTTATGGATTTCCTGTTTTGCTTTCATTCCAAGTTAATGTGGTAATTAGCTTAACATCATTACATTTGTAAGCCGGCCAGTGCTTAGCAAACTGCAACTCTGAGAGGTGATGTACTCATACTTTTCTTTGGAAAAACGTCAGTTTAACAACTACGTTGTCTCTTAAAAATTGGGGGGAAAAAAAAAGAATGCGAGAATAAGCCTGCCCTTTCCCACCTAGTGCATGCAACAGAGTAGAAGAGCTAAAAGCTGCAGTTCACTGGGACATGCCGCCTTTCCAAAAGTAAGAAGATAAGATGGGTCTAACCCACACCCAAATAGGAAATATAGCATGTTCCATGTTAAGTGAATCTTCAGAGTTTTGAAGCGTGGTACTTTGGCTTGAACTGTCCAGACATTTAAAACAAGATTGTTTGGTAGATTGTTTGGTAAGTTGTGATTAAAAAATAAAGTGTTTTTGTTCAATAAACATTGATTTGTTGAAATCAAACTCTTCCTGAATACGATTACGACTGTGACATTCTGGAAGAAAAATACTGAAAACAAAAGGAGAAATTTGAAAAGAAAACGTTGAAATGTTGTGAGGAAGTATAAACTTTCTATTTTGACAACCCTATTTCATTTTCTTTTGAAATTTATGTTATACTATTTGTGTACATATAACAGTGTTTAAAAATTTCTGGTTTGTTTCAACAACATACATGTGCAGTGTTTCAGGAAGTAGCAAAACTTCTTTATTCCTATTTAGGTCAAAGGCAGACTTCAAAATGTTGAAATCCCCCAAAGTCTAGTAATGATACTTCTTTCCAGCTCCTTTGAATGCTGTCACTAATATTATCCTGGGTTTCATCCACTCTCTTTAATGGCAAGATTTAGCCTTTTGCTCAACTGAAGCATGTTTGTGGTAAATGAGTGTGTTCAAAAATGCTTTGTGTACACAGCAATAACGTATGATAAAAAGCTGAGGTTCTTTCTAAACTTTTCAGTCTGCCCTCCCGCTCACCCTAAGTACACATATTCTGTCAATATTGGCTCTAGAGACTAAGTCTGGTCTCTGGAGATTTTTTTGCAAATTCTGTATGAGATCTATGATATGCAGTCACAGTAAAATCAGTGGCATTGCAGAAAGCCCAGGACTGATATTAGATTTTATTAGTAATTCATTATATTTCAAAGCTCTTGTCAATGTGTACTGAATTACTCTTTTTAACACGTACTGAATTGCATGTTCTCATTTTTATAACCTCTGCCTTCCTACCTGATTCAGAAGTTAATAGGGGTGGCGAGACAGAGTAGAAAATAAATTAGATTGAAATAATTTACTTTGCTTTTAGTGGCTTTTAAAGAAGCTCTAACAAAATTAGTCCATTTCTAGGATGGGAGCTGTTTTGTCTAATTATATATGTCTAATTTTTTCTTTTGAGATAACTTAATGATATGATAGGTATAAAATTTTATACTGCCAATCTGCTTGTAAAATGTGTTTTCAGCTCTCTTTAAATTATTTTTTCTCTAGGTAAAGGCAGGCGTATGCAGCCTCACTGGTCTCCCCCTGAAGGGACAAAACATTCTAGACTCTGCCTCTATAACAGCCTGACTCGCAATAAGGTGACTGAATGAAAGAAAAATGGAATTTTGCACAGAAACACAAATAGAAAAGCCATCTAAACGTTTGTTTCTTAAGTGTCTGTTGTATGAGTAGACAGGGTTATATTTTGTGGAATGTTAACGAGCAAGTGCAAAATATAACATTTCAAGTATATTTGTAGAGGCAAGTGTTACAATATGCACAATAAGTACACCTATACAAGTGTGTGTGCGCACGCATGTATGTCTATGTTGCGTAAAAATATATAACAAAGAAATGCAAGTTATCATCCAAACTAGTCAGTAATTCAACTGTAATACACATAAGCATAGGTAACGAGCAAAATAAAATCAGAGTTTCTTTCTTTAGATCTTGTTGGTGCAATAAAGTCTTGCCAATTATATTAATGTAATACTGGTAAAACTTCATGTAGTCTTGTTTGGGGGTCCTTTGGGGAAAAGAGGAAAATTAAAAGTATTAATATTATATGAGATGTAGTATCCAAGTATGTGTGACGTGTTTATCGTGTATAACATTTCTCACTGTTTATAGAGTGTGGATAGCGTAAGTAGCCACATTCTGTTTTCTCTCTTACGTGAGAAAACTCAAGAGTTTTTTTTTTTTTTTTCATATTCTGATCCTTCATTTGTGATGTTACCTGACTGAGGCATATGTCTGCAATCTCTTCTGCTCACTATACCTTCCCTTTCAATTAAGGAACTATTTCAGCCTCAGAATGGAAAAAAGGTCACATGGTATTGCTGTGGTCCAACAGTGTACGATGCTTCTCACATGGGACATGCCAGGTACTGTAGTTTCTGATTTTGATACAAGTAGTAACACTTTCAATAGTAAGCAAAAGATTAATGGAAAAATATACTTTATTTAGATGAATGTATTACTGGAGAATAGTCTTGTTAGACTCAACGCTCAGGAGTTGAGGTTAGAAAAAGCATATTATAACTTATATTATGTCATTGTGTAATAAAAACTTACTAGTAGATGGGAGAAGGTTAAAACTGCTGTAAATTTATTGACACTAAAATTACAATAGTTTATGCTTAGAACAGAAATGTGTTTGAGGTGTTCAGTTAGAACTCCCCTACGTATTTTTGTATTTTTAGGTCATACATCTCTTTTGACATCCTGAGAAGAATCTTTAGGGATTATTTTAAATTTGACGTTTTCTATTGTATGAATATTACAGATATTGATGATAAGGTAAGGTCTTTTTAAATTGCAGTCTAAAATAATGTAGTTTGAATGTGGGGGTCAGGGAGCTCTATGTAAATAGTGCAATTGTCATTTCCTAAGCCAAGATAAATAGCGTACTGATTAACAGACATACGTTTCTCATGCAAAGTCACTGATTTTTCTCACTTCTTTAGCATTCCTATGCTAGCAGAGCCTGTATTCTTATGGTTAAATGAATGCTGTTATAAATAATGGAGACTAACCATTTTACAAAGATAATTTGCTCTGGCCTTTTTCATTCTCTGTTGTTGAGATACTTAATTAACTCTGAAGTACCTAAATAAATCTGTGTGGTGTGCTTAGTTTGTGTTACTGCCTGTAATTCTTGTAGCTTGTTAAATTTGTAGGGATTTTGAAAAGTCATTCGTATGTAATAGATCTTATTTGCATTTTCTATAAATATATGCCACTTCACAAAAACATTGCCGTGTTTCTGCTTTATTAGATCATCAAGAGAGCAAGACAAAATTACCTTTTTGAACAGTATAGGGAGAACAAATCAACAGCAGCTCAACTACTTGAAGATGTCAAAACTGCCTCAGAGGTGGGCTCAGTATTTATTCCCTGCTAGTATCTTAGGTTCTTATTCAGTAATGTAGCAAAGCATCTAAAAAATGTTTCCAGCTTTGCTGTTACTATTTACTTATTTAAACTTTCTGCTTGTTTCAATTCTATTGAACTGGTACCACACAAATTAAAACACACATCAAGTGTTATTGGAATGGCACATCACTTGGGTGTTCCGTTGTTTTAGACGTATGGGCTAAAGTTTTTCAACACAGTTGGAAAGAACGATCTGTGCAAAAGTCATGCTTGATTTTTGTGTCAATAGAGTTGTTTTGCGTGTGCATATATGTTTTGTTGGAGGATTGGGAAAATGGGCCAAAAAGCACTTGGGCGTCTGTTAGAATTCAAACTCAAAGTAACTCTTCAAAACAGTTTTTGAATAGTGGTATGTCCACAGTCTTTTAAGTTGTAAGCACCTGTAAGAATTACCCTTCTGCATCATTGACAACCTTGGAAAGAGCGAAAGTCTGCAAAGCTTCCGGGGTTTAATAAATTGTGTATGCTGGGTTAAAGGTTGGGAGAGGTGGTTCTCTGGTCATTTTAGAACTGCAGATCGCCAAGAGATCATTGGTCTAATGGACTGAATACAGGCCTGGGAATAGGATGCCTGGAATTTTTGCCTAAATTTGTCATTGCCTGACATGCTCTTTAAGCGTAGCACTTAATCTCTTTGTGTTTTACATTTGTGCTTCTCCATTTCAGATTTAGGCTAACAGCTCTGTAATTAGGGTAATTGACTGCACGGGAAATGAAACTTACTAAATAACAGTAATTATGATTTTGTAATGTTTAAAGATTTTTTTTGAAACAGAACCGATGCTGTGATATAAAGCTTAATTCAAATGTGAACTAATTTTTTTTGAGGGGCTAGTGAGTATATTCATCCACCTTTGATTCTGATGAGTATGTTTTAGTCGCAGTAGTCTGATATCAGTGGTTTGTGTAGGATAATGTATTATTCATCACAAGCAAGGTACTCTATGGCTAAGATAAATATTGTATGGGGAATATAGCCCTATTGTAGTACTAGATGCTTTTTTAAATCAATTTTGTGATTGTAGCTCTTTTCAGTTAAATTAAATGAGACAACAGACCCAGATAAAAAGCAGATGTTGGAAAGAATTCAGAGTGCAGTGAGGTCTGCTTTTGACCCTCTGGAAGAAGCTGTGCGAGAGAAACTCCCCACCGAAGAGATCAACACATACCATGAGGTCAGCTTGAGCTCATTTAAAAGTGATATTTGGCTTATAATTTTTAGTTTTTAAAAATAATATTTTACTTGTAGTAATTCTCCGAAACATATTTTGGAGATTTTTGTGTAATAAAAAGAGGAATGATGGCCCTGAGGATCTTCCAGTCTTTATCATCCAATACCTAAATTCTATCCCAGAGTTCAGCTAAATAGTTCTAGGATGTTGTTTTTATCAGTAACCCTACCTATCCCCCCAGCTGTGATAATTACTCAGGTATATTTAACTTTCCAGTAGTGATTTTCTCTTTCATAGCTTTAGACTTTCTCTTTGGCTTTTGGACTTGATGGAATTAGTTTCAGTAGGAGTTCATACCATTGTTCTACATGTATACACAAAGTTTCAGGATTTGTGGCAGTTTTCTACTCACGTGTTGTGACTCTGGTCAGAGTACAAAAGTTTTTCATCATATATTTAAAAAAAACCAAAAACTAACTATGCTCAATGTGATCCAAAGACCATGACAATTAGTGACAATAATCCTGTTGACTTTACTGGGGCTCTGGTACTGTCCCAGTAACCAACTCGGACAATATAATTACTGTCTTTTAGTAACTAGCTTCCACGTTCGTCTTTTCTTGCTTTCAGATTATTTGTCTTAATTACTATAGCAGGCATAAGGTATGTGCTACCTTCTTGAGAAGTATCTCTCTCTAAATTATCTTAAAATAATTCCAGTTACTGAAGTATCAGGTGTCTTTTAAAATGTGTATACTGACCTAAAAGTACTTTTTAAAAACAACTAAAATCTAAGCAATTGCACCTTCTGGGCTATCTCTTGTAACAAGCTGCCATCTGCTAAGGTACGACTGAGAAATGTATCCTTGCTGAGGTTCAAGTTCTTTCAAACGTTTTTTGGCAGCGTGCATAGCAAGGTTTTTGTTAGGATTGTCTGCTAGTAATGGGAGGAATGGATGATGTGATATGACTGCAGATTCCTTGCAGTGTTTACAGTGTAAATTCCACACGCCTATTCAAGTGATTTATTTTATTTTTTGTTTTATTTATTTATTTTTATTTGTTTTATTTGTTTATCTTCTGTTTTCTCCAAGTATATGAAAGGCAATATGATAACAAAATATGATAGAAGCAAGGAGCACTCTATATTAATAGCCAGATGTCTTTTTCCTTAGGCAAATCTCTCTATTCAGAATAACATCTTTCTGCAGCGTTTGAACAGGGCAAGTCTTTGGTCAGTTGCACATAAATTTTTGTTTTATAGATACTGTTGGAAGAAGCAAAAGATTTGCTGTCTGACTGGTTGGACAAAAAATTTGGCAGTCAGGTGACTGACAATTCCATATTCTCTAAGCTCCCCAAATTCTGGGAAGTGGAATTTCATAAAGACATGGAAGCTCTCAATGTAAGTATGCAAACAGTTTTCTGTTTTGAAAGTGTATATGCCATACCTCGTAATGCCCAGAATACAGTTTAGCCTCCTAATAGCTTTAAAAAAACTCAAATTTCAACCTTATTGATCAAAGATTTCCTTTAATCCATAATGTGATTAGGTAGCTGTTAAATTTAGCACCTGTTCTGTTTCGATCACAGCAATCTTAAAACCGCTGTGCATGTTATCAGTACCAGTTAACTGGAGATCAGGCGTCACATCTGCCCTCCATCCCTTCCTCTTGATGTAAAATAGGCCTGTAATTCTAAACTGATCCACAAATTTGAGACAGAGGCTATTAGCTACGCAACAGAGAGCTCTGCCAACTTCAGAATTTAGATTGACTACCTATCGCTTTTGAGCAGCGAAGAAATGATGCGCCGATGACAACAAACCAACCTGTCCTTGGTTGTTATAAGTGAATATACAGTGGTTCAGATCAGTGAAGTTTTATTCAGTTGCCTCCAAATCAGAGATGGATGTACTGCCTGTTCTGCCGGAAGTCCAATCAGTGAAATAGCTGATACCTCCTGCAGTAGTTTATTGGTAACATGATTTTAGAGGAGGATAAAAAATGAACACAGCACATTAAGTTCCAGAGCAGGAAGCTTGAAGTAGGACTCTTAGATTATACTGTCACTTGCTTTTGAGCAAGTCGCTTACCCAATGCTATATATATATGTTGTGTGTACATGTGTGTGTGTGTAAACATACAAACATATAAGCTTTATATGTTTGTGTGTGTATATGTGTGTATACATATAAATATATAAAAATATATATACATATAAAATGATATTTTTTTTTATCTATAGGTTTTACCTCCTGATGTTTTAACACGGGTTAGTGAATATGTTCCAGAAATTGTGGAATTTGTTAAAACGATTGTGGATAATGGTTATGGGTAAGTTCCCTAATTAATGCTTTTCTTGTGTTTTTTATAGTGTATCAGAGCCAAAATGACTTTCAACAGTTACAGTGAACTGTCTTCTCCTTTTTATAGTCTGTTTCAAAAGTAGTATCTCTTTGAGTAAAGAAACTTCTGATGCCTTTGCACAAGAACTGTAACTTTTATCCTGATGAAAACTTGTGGTACTCTATATTTGTTATGATGTCTTAAAAATAGAGATATTAAAATATTAATTTAATAGAGTGAAATCCTCGTTTCTTGAAACAAATAGTCAAAGTCCCATTGACTTGAACTGTATTTGATTCAAGGCCTTCAGCAAGGGTTTTCAAAAGTGAGTGCCTGAATAGATTTCTAGAAATCAGTTGTAAAGAACAAAGTCAACCAAAAAAAAAAGTATACTTGAGCTGTTTTTCTGCCGTTATCTGAAAGTTGTGGAAAAACAAGCTAATTTTCTAGAAGTTCTTAAGTACTGTGATAGAATCCAGACTGAAAACTTTTGAGCGCTCCTTCTGTTAATAGCCTCAGTTTTTCAATGTGGAAATATTTTCAGTCTCAAAAAAGAAAACTTGTGGTTCAAATGCCGTCACTTCTCTGGCATGTTCATGCTCAAAATCTGCATTTTTAATTTTTTTTTAAATAACAACAGTACAAAACGGTTTGCATTGAGGTATCAGTGTTCATGGTGGTCTTAAAACAACTTTTTGCCATGGCTGTAGTGGGACAAAATTAGCAAAATGAAAGAGGGCAAAGTAGTGTGTGAAACAAACGTGATTCATATTATGTTATTGCAAAATAGTGAGAGGTAACATGCCAAGATTAATGGTCCCAAGATAAATTTCTGCAATACTTTTGACATATTTTAACATAAAGTGTTAATTGTTCTGCCTCTGCATTTTATCCTGGCTTTTAATGGTTTGTCTGCAGTCTTTATGGTAAGGCCTATGAACTTAGGCTCACCTAAGTCACCTTTACCATACTGAGCAAATAGCATACCCTGTGTGAGTTCGCTAGAGAATTTAAATAAAGTAGTGATTTTGGGGGGTAAACTTTATTTAAGTGTTAGTAGAAAGTTAACTATATGGTTATTTTTAACTTTTCAGGTATGTGTCTAATGGATCTGTATACTTTGATACTATGAAGTTTGATTCTGCTGAGAAGCACTCCTATGCTAAGTTGGTTCCTGAAGCTGTAGGTGATCAAAAAGCTCTTCAAGAGGGTGAAGGTAAAGAGGGGAAAAAACATTTGCTTAAATTTTTATAGGTACGCATGATGTTGATCTTTTAAGTTGATTTAATTGAGATTTGCGTCAAATTTTTAGAGTGAATGATTTACCTTCTGCACTTCCTTTACCTCTGCCTTTGTTTTCCATGGTTTTGTAGCTTGAGCTAGCACTTTCATGAGTATTTTATTTGGAAAATACGAAGACGTTTTCTTCATTCTAGGATGACGTTTTTATCAGTTTTTTTTTAATCAGAATTGTGAATAGTCCAGTTGTTTAACTGTAGCCAAGTCATTTGGCTGTTCATCTTGTTCAAAGTAGGGAGAGCAAGAACTTAAAGGTAAGTCCCCCACATGCTAGGTGAAAGCCCTTCCAACCAGGCTATGGCTATTTTATGACAAATATTTTGAGTTTTTTCTCTCTTATTCTGCTCTCATACTGAGAACTCTTTTTACTTTGTAAACATTGTTGTGTTTAACTAAATCCAAATATAGGTCTCTTGATAAGAGGCATAGTAGAGGAACAGCTTAAACACGCAATAAAACATGACTCCTTAGTTAGCTCCTCCTAACATAGTAGTTCTAGTAGCAAAGCATCCATGAAATGCATCAGCAGAATATTACAAGGGTTTTAAGTCACAGGTGAAATTAAGGTAGCAAACAACGACTGAGAGAGATGCTGTATTAAATTGCATGGGATTTTTCCTAATTTAAATCCTTAGAGCTGAAGTTTCAATGCAAATATGAAATAAAAGGTGCTAGCTTAAACCACCATCTTTTTGGTAACATGAACACACAATTTTTACCACATGACCAAATAGTATCATTATGTTGCTATTTCCTTTTGCAAATGCAAACCAATGCAGACTGATTAATGTAACTAGGAGTATGGATATGTCTAGTTGTCGCTTATCAGTTTAGCTGCCCTAACTCATTCGTGGTGATAGCCATACCCTGGCAGATAACATCATTTTGACTTGTAGAGGCAGCAGAAACGCTAAGCTTTGAAAGGTTGTAACTAATGCAAGTAGAAGTATAACACTTTTTATATCCAAATTGCATAATGAGATATTCTAAAAAATTTGGACTGCAGGTATCTCAAAGCATACCTCAAAATTAGTTGAAAATTCTAACTTTAATCTTGACAATTTTGACTTTAATCTGTCTTGGATTCTCATGTGGTAGATGGTATTGATGGTATTGTTAACCGTGTTTAGTCTTGGTACTGCAAAAATTTCCTCTCTTTTAAAGAGTTAAGGTGCTATATAATAAGAGTACCACTCAAATGATCACAGGGAGCTCACAGTAACTCATGCATAACACATTTGTGATGAAAAAAATAAATATAGAAATATGGAACAACTACTAGCGCCATCCTGTGCAGTAACTGAGACAAAGGATGGAAGAAATAGCCTATGAGCATATTGTCTGTGCGGATTTAAGTCAATTCTAGTCTTAATTTTGTTATTTCTAACTCAGGAGTGAATTGATTCTGCTACCTTATTTGCCTGTGAATATAGGTTTTGGTGTGTTTTTGTTTTGCTTTTTCTGAATCTGCAAAATTGGAGTTGTGCCTGCAGAAAGAATGTAGGTGAATCTCATGTGTCACAACTTAAAAAGCAGTGCAACTGATCCTCATTGTAAGCTCTCTTGTCAACCAAGCATTGATCAAAACGCAAAGGAATAGCAAGGCTGAATTTTAAGTGTTTTATTTTTTTCAATTCACTTGGTGTGCGTTTTGACAGAGCCAAGAATCAATAGTGCTGGTGTTTAAATAAAATGTAAATATTTGTATTTTCCCTTTTGAAAGGTGACCTGAGTATCTCAACTGATCGCTTGAGTGAGAAGCATTCTCCAAATGATTTTGCTTTGTGGAAATCCTCCAAGCCAGGAGAGCCCTCGTGGGACTCTCCATGGGGAAAGGTAAGGACATTATAATCAGGTTTTAGTTCCTCTACAGGTTATTAAATACTATGTTTTATAATACACAAATACAGTGACTCATATTAATGATGTCTAGATTATGGGGATCTTGTATTCAACAGTACGTTCTATTGCTCTGTTCATTTAATGATTTAGAATCTGTCTATTGATATTTTGGACTGTTAGATGAATTTTAAATTTAAGTTTGCACGCAGGCTTATGACGACTGCTCTTAGTCTATTTATCTACAATCTTTATTTGCAGAGATTTATCTATCTTATTTCTCTTTGTAATCTAAAACACTGATGTAATTTTTAAGAGTAAGTGGGAGGATTGTGTTCTGTATGATCAAGTCATCATATATATGTATGTGAGATTGGATCTTGAAGTCCTACAAGCATCCTTTTATGAATCTGAGACTGTGAATCTTTTTTTTTCCTAGATGACTCTGTCTCATTTCCTTACAGGTATAACTGTTTAGGGGCATACTAATGAGGAAATGGTACATAGGCGGGAGAGGAAGACAATTAATTAGTAGTGAAGTGATGTCTTTGTCTAAACAGGGCCGTCCAGGTTGGCACATTGAATGTTCTGCAATGGCTGGATCCGTTTTAGGAGAGTCGATGGATATTCATGGAGGAGGGTTTGATCTCCGTTTTCCACACCATGACAATGAACTGGCACAGTCTGAGGTGAATGAACTGTCGATGGCCTTCATCTCCAGTGAGAAAGCTACATGCTTAGCTTTGAACTGCAACTTGTGCAGATTCATCAGTTAATTTTTAAAACACTACATGTCTGATATATAAGCATAACTTTTTTTCTCATTATTTATTTATACCTATGTTATCCTGTTTTGTGACATATATTTATATGGTATTGAATCTTCTGTGTGTTGTTTTTTTGTTTTTGCTGCAGGCATACTTTGAAAATGATCACTGGGTTCGATATTTTCTGCATACTGGCCACTTAACAATTGCTGGCTGTAAAATGTCCAAATCTTTAAAGAATTTCATTACCATAAAAGATGCATTGAAGAAGCATACAGGTGAAAATAACTTTAGAATTTGAATGCTTTTGATGTAGTTTGAGTAGTTTTAGTGATGTGAATTTTAGTGTAATTTAGAGTAATTTTAGAGTAATTTTAGTGATGTAGTTTGTAGTTTGATTTTATTTAGGCACGCAATGGAGTTTCCAGAAGTGGCTAACTCCAGGTGTCTTTTTTTCATCACTAAATGGCTAAGTAACTTCAGAACAGCTTCCCTGTTCCTCTGTTCCTCGTCTGTAAAGTATAGATAATAATGTCTCCTCTTTTTGGTAGATGTATTGAGAGTAAGAATATTAAAGATTGAAATGTTCTTAGCAATTACAGTATAGGAGGCTGTAAAATACTTTAGGTTATGATTATGATTATTTTCCTTGTTTATTTTAAAATTGGTAGCACGGCAGTTACGGTTGGCTTTCCTCATGCACTCTTGGAAGGATACACTGGATTATTCGAATAATACCATGGAGTCAGCTATTCAGTATGAGAAGTTTATGAGCGTAAGTAAGCTTTCCATTCTTCCTCTGTCTCTCTACACTTTGTGCTGTCATACATGCTCCAAGCAATAGAACCCAAAGACATATGGGTCATGTCCCCAGAAGGAATTGCCTTTTTAATTCATCAGGGAGAATCCCCCAATGCTTGTTTAGCTACTATTGACCAATGAAGTCACATAAATTCCATAGACGGCTACATTTTTCTGCTGCTGGGTACTCTCTGAGGCTACATCTCTGAGCATCTTGGCACTTACACGCAAGATTACTTTCTCAGCTTAGCTTGCTTTTAAGACTGTCCAACTTGCACTCTCATAATATGTCTATCAGATCAGACTTTACAGAAATGCAGCCAAAAGAGGAGGAGGGAGTATTGTTCCTATCTCGTCTGCTCACCACATACATAAAGCGTTTGTCTTTGTCTTGCTGCTGGAATGTGAGGGGACTGTTCTCTGCGTAGTTTGGAGCAGTGTTTTAAACCCACACTTCCCACAAGAAGGCTACGCTACAGCACTTTGAGATCATTGATCTTGGTCTCTCCAGCTGAAGCTGTTAAGCTTTTTATGCAAAGTATTTACTTTGGGCCATGCAATAAGTGAAAATGACTTCTTGCCAAGCAGGATGCCCACCTAAAAGAGCCCCTTGCTATACAGCCATTCTTATTCTTTAGCTTACGCTGCTAGCAAAACACTTAACAATCTGCCTTAAGAACTCCCATCTAAGAAGAGCATAACTTTTTAAAATGGATTTGTATTTGAGTAGCTTGAGGTTAGAGTATCATATTGTATTATGCAGTGGCAGAGCCAAGACATGGAACTGAATTACAGTACTGTAATTTACGGAGTTATGCAAAATATACGGGTTTCCCTGTTTTGACAGACATTCAATGATCCTGGCTGAAATAGTGTTGAAACCATCAACTTTAGAAAGCTAAGAAATAGACCTTTTCACAGTAAATATTGATTGTGAGTAATTTAACTTGATTTTGAGCTATAGTTTCCTTTTATAGGAATTCTTTTTAAATGTGAAGGATATTCTTCGAGCTCCCACTGATTTGACAGGCCAGTTTCAGAAATGGGAAAGCCAGGAAGCAGAGCTGAACAAAAAGTGAGTGGAGCATTCCTACTCTCTGTGAATAACCATTGTGTAGATGCATGTTTCATAACCTCTCAGTTTGTGGTAAGTTAGCTTCCAAATTGCTATTCCTCTTTGGAAATATAGTAAATAGAAAACTCAGCTGAAACACAGGGAGAAGAGAGCAATACTGTAAGAATATAGTCAATACAGGAAGGTACTAAATAAGTAAGTTGGTCTGCTTGTAAAAACTGGTATTAAAAAGTCAGTTGCTGAAAAGAGATATGTATTATTTATTTATATTTTTGGACAGTTGTTGCCAGTTAGATTATCCTGCCTGCCTTTGTTCATAGAAGCAAACCAATAGTCCTGATGATGCCTTTCTCTTGCTCATCTGTTTTTTCTTCAAATGTAAGCTATGGCCAACAAAAGATTATCTCACTTCTAGGTTCCCTTTACTCTTCTAACAGAAGTTCTTCAGAGTAGATTGGAGAAATTCTTCAGAGTAGACTGCAGATACTTTTGACGTGAACAGTAAAAAAAAAAAATTTTTTTTCTTCTTAGTTTTTACGACAAGAAGGCAGCAATTCATGAAGCACTGTGTGACAATATTGATACTCGCTCTGTCTTAGAAGAAATGCGTTCGTTAGTCAGTCAGAGTAACTCCTATATTGCTGCAAAGAAATCTTCCAGACAAATGCCAAACAGACTTCTTTTAGAAAACATCAGTTCGTATCTCACTCAAATGCTAAAGGTATGTAATAGCAAGTATTAAAATTGCTATTGCACTGTGCAATTACTACTGTTGTATTTTTCAAGTATGTAGGGACCTGTATGGTCTTTGTTTAAATCTTGCAGGAAACTAGAGACCTTCCCTTCCCCTGCCGCACCCAAAAAAAACCCCAATTTGCAGTGCTTGTTGCAGCAGGAACCATTTGGAGCCCTTTATTTTATGTTTTAATTGTATTGAATGTTTTCTTGAATAGTAGGAAGCCCCTCATACATGCAAGGAAAATTAGACAGTTGAAAAAAATATGAAGTCCTATTATCAAATCTTACGGTGTTAAAGCTAGTTTTGAAAGCCAAGGATTAGTATGCTGTATCAATTTAAAAAAAAAAAAAAAACAGAAAATTTCTTACTAGAGCAGTGAATTGTGGGTTAAACCAACTAGATGGTTTTGAAACTCTAGTACATAATGATTTTGCTTAGTTTTCACATACCTGTTACTTAATGTACACAACTTTTTTTTTTCTCCCCCCTTGACCAGATATTTGGTGCCATAGACAGTGATGATGCAATTGGGTTTCCTGTTGGAGGAAACAGTCAAAACGTAAATGTAAGTGAAGGACAAAGTACTCTCTGCAAAATTACTCTGTATTCTTTTGTAGTCCTTTGAAAGCTTACATTGGATAAAGTGATTACATTACTGACACGTAGCTGAATTCTGTTCTTGCATTTTTTAACATTTTTGAATCTACAGCAATTAATTGGCTTAGGAGGCAGAATTTTTTCTTTTACAACAGTGGCTTTTTTATTGCTTTATTTAGTTTAATGAGAGACAAATTGGATGGCAACCAGGAAAAGAATTATCTTGTCTTCTGAGTGATGAGTCTGGTTAGGAAAACCACATGTTGACTATAGATAGTACATGCTAGAAAAGACTCATTACAAGTATTTATATGTTAATTAGTCTCAAAAATATAATTATACCGATTAAAGATCCTTGTGGTACACCAAACACCAGCCTGGAGGCAGCTGGAATTTCATCCTCGTTTCAGTCTCTTTTTCTGATCTCATTTATAACCACAGAATTTATTTGGCTTTTGAAGGCTGTTTTGCTTTGGTCACCGAGCAGTACCACTGTGGTGCAGAATTTTCCTGGGAATACTTGGGAGAAGCCTAATGAAAGTGCTCATGGACCCTCATGTGCTCATGTAATAGTAGTGACATTTCATGGGGCTTGCATGAGAAACAACTGCATGTGAAAAACTGTCAACCTTGCTCTTTGTTCATGAAGAATTTTTGATGTGAAAAATGGCAGTGATTTGTCCAATATTTTTCTTTACTTGCAGCATCTGATATCTAGTAGCTTCTAACGCCAGTCTCGTACAGTCTCACATTCAAAGATGTGAACACCATGCATTTTTTTTGTTCCTCCATAAAAATGAATAATTGACGTTTGTGGTGTAACAAAAAAAAAAACACCGTATAATCACCAAAGGAAAAAAAAATTGCTTGTGATTGAAGAATGTGAATGAACGTCTATCTGATATTTGCCTGGGCAAGTACTTACGTTGTAGTGCTGTGGAAACCTTCAGTAATGATATAACAAGGAGGGTAAGGAAGATGCTGAGCATTCCATTCAAAAACCCATCAATAGTGAATTTTAATTTAGTGCAGAGTTATTCTGAATTTGAGAAGAAAAGCAGCACCTTGACACTTATCTTTTTAGGGAAAATAAAAATCAAATCCATATTTAACACTCCAGGCAGTGTTTACAACAGATATGCTTTACAGAAGGATATGCAATAGCTTGGAACATGAAGCTAAGCCTTTCTCTCTCCTAAAATAGCACTGTCAAGGTTAGTAGGATCAAGAGAATCTGGTGCAGAAGGGGGCTTTTAACACCTGTTAGTAAAATCCATGTAATTTTTATAGTTCTTGGTTTTGTGTACAATGTCAATTCAAGGAATACCAGCAGCCAGGTATCCCGGAGCAGCTGGCTTTGCTTTTCGCAGGAGGAAACTTCCATTTTTACCCCCTAAGAAATTATTGATTTTAAGGGTTATAATATTAAGATGTTTACAATCAAAAATGGTTTGGTTTTGCCATTAAATATACCCTCTTTAAGTCTTCCACGGAGATACTTCTTCTTAGCAAAAGCTACCAGGTGAACATTCGAGGTTGGAAAACTTCTCATTAGTTACAGAAGGCTGTGGATCAGGCTTGTTGTTTCTTTGTCCAATCGAGATGAAGGAATCAGTAGATCTGAAAGTCATTATCTCCCAAAAAGGCGCAATCCTCTTTAAAAACCTTGGAAGAATGACGAGTCTAATAATCACGATTCAGTAATTTACTGGAAAGGGGAGCGGAAGAGACTTGAAGCAGGAAAATCTCAGATTTCAGAGTCTCATTTTTCAAATGAATTAAGCATTGCTATAAGGTTAATTATTCTGGAAATCAAAATCTTTCATCTTTAGATGTCTGAAACATAACGAAGTGGTAACAAGACATGCTTTCGTGATGCCACTTCATTTGCATATCTCAAGCTAGTCTGAGTAGAGCGCACAGTGGAGAAGCGACTGTTGCTCAGTTTCCAGAGTCTGTTCTTTCTGCTGAGCCTGTCAGCCCAGGTTCCAATTGTGAAGCTGGTTTTATAGCATGATTTTTCATTTGTGAAAAGTTTTAATTCAGCCCCTCGGTTTGTTTGATATGGATGGTTTTAGAGTATAACAGACTATTGGACCTGTTGATTGCACAGGAGTTTGTCATGGAGATGTAACAGGTGGGTAAAGAGATGTGGAAACTGTAGACAAAACAAAAGTGTAAATATTTTTTTCCTTTCCCTAGCCTGCCCTTCAAAGAGATGAAACTTTTAATGTAACCAGTCCTATTGGTGCCCAGATTCTCATCTTGGAATTCCAGAGAAGTGTTGGCAAGCAGCACTATCCTATAGTTATTTTTGTAGTTGTTCACTGCTGTTCACTAATTGCTTGCTGTTGCCCTTCACTACCATTGAGAGCAGGATTCTCAGGACATTCCTGTGAGCTTTCATATTTTCCCACGCCTGAAATTATTCAACGCAAACTTTCCATTGCTTTTTTTTCGGGTGAAGTATGGAATAGGGACAAATGCACAATTAGGATAACTGAACTTCTGAGGACTAGATCTGTATTCTAATAAAAATAAGTCTTAACTTGAGTTGTACCTGGTATTATTTCTGACGAGCAGTTTGACCTACATAAGATATCTTCAGAACATGAAGGGGCAAATTCATCTGGGTGTAGCTCTCCAGTATAGCCTTGGCAGCTGTTCTCATCCTTGTACTGCATTTTAATTATGCAGCCTATAGCATAGCCCTCTGAAACGGATGTATCTGCATAACTGAAAGGAAAAGAAGAAGGAATAGGGAGAGTAGAAGTTCTCAAGTTGGTGTCATCTGCTCGAAGGCAAAATAGCTAGCGCAAGTCATTGTCTCTTGACATCAATAGAGCAATGACAATTTGTATCGATACAGATCTGCCCTGAGGGTTGACTTCCACCCAAAAGCTCATAAATATAAAGTGGATAAAGCATGATTTAAATCTAAATTCCAAATAGCTAATTTAGAAATAATTCTTCCGCAGATTGAATCTACAGTGATGCCATACCTGCAAGTCCTTTCTGAGTTCAGAGAAGGAGTGCGACAAATTGCTAGAGAGAAGAAAGGTGAGTTTTTGCTTTTTCCAGGATTGTTGCACCTGAGACTGAGAGGTGGTAGGAGTGAACCCCGGGAGGGAGGATCCAATGGATAAAATCTCTCTTTGCTTAGAGAATAAAAGTAACGTATGTCTTCCTGTGTGTTCAAAATTAAACCAGAATTGCTTTGAGTGTGCACATCACTGCTGCATGTCTCTCTGATCTAGGAAACGCTTTCACAAGCTGCTAAACTTGTTTCCTTTTAACTTCTTAAGGAATCCAAAAGTTTAGGAGGGAAGAAGTTTTTCTAGACCGGAGCACTCCATGCTTTCCAGGCATGAGAGTAGTGATGCTCTCTCCCCTTGGGATCTTGCATTCTCTAAAAAGTGTAGAGTGCTACACTGTGATACTGTCTGTGTTTAAATAGCCAGAGATGTTCCTTCCTATTTGTTAACACAGTTGGAATTGTAGCTCTCCAGAGGGTAATACAGCTCTCTCTTTAGAGAATTCATCCGAGTGTTTGCTGGAGGTTGTTTTGGACTTTTTTTTTTTTTCCTCCTTTGAAAAGCTTTGATCGTGCTATTTGTTGGCAGCAGAACTATATAGTGTTACAAATGTTGTTCCGTTAAGCCCTCTTTGATATTATGGGTCGATTAGTTTCTAATTAAGTTCTTATTATTTTCTGCTGTTCCCTGTGGATTTTTACGCATCTTCAATTTGTATTTGATTCTCGTTTTCTTTAATTTTTACACTCTAGTTTATACTTGAAGGCCAAATAAGGAGATATATATAAATGTCTATGTTTATTATATAGAGAGAGAGATTTAACATAAAACATATACCTATAGGCCTAATTGATGCTGAGAAACAGGCTTATTAGTTCCAATAGCAAATATTTCATGTGATTTTAATTAATTCAAGAAGTTTGTGTGTATATCCTCCACCTAAAATGTGGCCCCTGGCCTCTTAATATTTAAAAAAATACTTGTTTTATATGAGGCTTTTTTCCTGGCTTGAGCAAGGTGATAGAGCTAAGCTCATTTTTAACAGTTTTAATGTTTGAATGTCATGGGGCTGCTTGGAGGGCGTTTTTAGGAGAAGGTACTTAGTACTGGACCACTTACCTTCCAAGTGAGAAACTCAAGTGCAGTATTGTTTTTCTGGGGCCTCAAATAAATTGGGGAGTCGGAATAGAGCTATCTGGTTGGGGTACAGAGAGGTTGTACAAATTTGCAGTTTGACCGGAGGGGAACCTCTGACCAAACTGTTTGATATATGGAAGCTAGGTGATGGCTGAGGGTACCTGCACAGACATGCTACTGATTTGCTTCCTCCATTAAATTCTTATCCATTAAATTCCTGCCTGCAGGAAATGTGAAATTACTGTAAGAGTTGTTCTGATTAATAGCTGGGGATATTGCCTCTACGCGGTTGTGAGTGAAGGGAGTTTCCTCTCATAGCCAAATCCTGGCAGAATGAAGTTAAATATGAATTAGCGTGTTTTGTATTGCTCTAATTACTCTTAGTGGCTGAATAAAAGGTATGTCTCTTCTGTAAAACCTGCACAGTAAAAAACAATTGTCCCCATCCCTATATATAAAATATAAAAGCATTTCATAGCATAACCATTTATAAAACTATATTTTTCAGTGGGAATCAACGTGTATGTACCCTACCGAAATTTTTAGTATCAATCCAGAATGACTAACATTCAAATATATTGATAAAATACATTCTCTCTTTTATAAGCTTATTAGTATCTAAATAGGAGACCTGCACCAATCATTTGCATTTGAATCTTGACTGATGAATATGAAAGGAAATGATGATGAGTGGAAAAAGGAAAATAATGCCTTATCTGTACAAGGGAAAGAAATGCAGAAAGCTTTTGCAAAAGACCTTGATCGTTGGTTGTTCAGAGCTTCACTACGCTGTGCATCCTTAAGTTTTACTGGAGTACGTGGCCAATTGCAAAGACCCCTGTCTCTGCAGGGACACATATTGCTGTTCTAGTGCAGCCCCTGATGCTGCTTGGGAAGACTTTTTGTTGGAAGCGAATCGGTATTCAGATGTTCAAACAGGCACAATTCTTTGTTGTTGTTGGTTACTTACCTTGGGACATCTGCTTAAATCGACTACCTTGTAGTAAAGGGGTCTATTACTGCACTCTGCCTGCCCCTTCGTTTCCTACCACTGATTCTGTTGCCATGAGTTGTAAATGCTGGGTCTTGCTCCAGGCTACTTCTGGGACGCAGTGGGAAACCCTCTGCCCTCCTCCTAATATATCCTGTTGACAGGAAGTGGGACAAGACTTGCCTGCTCTTGTCTTTGCTGCTGGCCTTAACAGCTAGCATTTGCAAAAGGCTTTTTTAAACTCCTCCTTTTCCTTCCCACTACAGTAGAGAGGAAACAGCACATCACCTGTTTCACATCCAAGACTCTGTGCCTTGAAATGCACAGAAAACGTGCAAGTAGGGCTGGGAAATAGTCACAAGTTCATAGATTGCCTAGGCTCCAGTTCATTCTTAGCCTACAGTGTCTTCATGGGCATTGATGATGAAGCATCATCTCGCTATTCTCCCCCTCACTGTCCCTTCAGTGAGGATAACCGCTTATGACTTGGGGCAGCCCATAAACAACTCTCTGCCAATCCCTAAACATCCCTGTGCCCGGGAGGTGGCACATACAAATAATAGGCACATTTCAGCCCTAAGAACTACTGCATTGACTCCCGTGGATAGCAGAGGATGCGTCCTTTCATGAATTATGCATGTTTTGTGTATACATTTCTTATCCTTCTCTACCTTGAAGGATTTCTTTTTTTTTTATCCTTTCAATTATTCATAGTTTCAGGTAAGTAAATATTTATCACTGAACAGATACTGTTTTATTATATAAGCAGTGGGTGCATCTGATACGTTCTTGACATGACATGCTTAATTCCTTCACCTAGGCTAGAGTCAATGTCTTCTAGTATTAGCAGCTAATGAGGTAAACTTATCCCTGGCTTATCTTAATTGGCTTCTTTAGAATCACATCAAACATGAGTGTGGTTCACTGTGTATACCAGCTCTGGATGAAGAAAAATAAATACTTAGCTGATGACAGACAGAACTGCTCCTATAAAATGCAATACTTTGATGTACAAAGACAGAGTCATTCTGCTGATTCCCTAGAAAAGAGTACTCCACAATGTGGTAGGGTGGCCATTCCATTTCATGGTAGTCGGGTAATCAGTGCTTTGTCTTCTGTTAAACTCTCTGAGGCTCTAAGAACTCTGGAACAGGTAAAGACCTGGGGATGGTACTTATATCTACTGGTATGGACAGCATTTACATACAAAAAGAGTCTGGATTAGTGGCTTCTAGTGCCTGAATTATTACCTTTGAGACCCTTATTACTTCTTAGGTTTAACCAACTGAGACAGTTGATGAAAGGGAGAACGCTTATTAAAAGCACATGGTATGAACTAGCCTAAGTATATATTTTTGTCACATTTGTAACTGTTTTCTTCTGAATATAAGACTATATTAAAAATGCTACTGAATTAGGTTCATAACAGCAGCATACAGGGTCCTCTGGATGCATTTAATTCTTCTTGATTTCTTAACTGCTCTGCCACTTCTCAGCTGATAGAACTTTTCTCTACTATATGATGATTTGTTTGCCTCTTAAGGTTTAACAGCATCTATTTCAGCTGAATTTTGAGTTCTTAATCACTTGTTGTCTTTAAAGACTCTTTAAGTTTGCAAGGAAAAAAGAAAATGTTAGTCGTGGTGTTCTGATCACCTTACAGAAAGCTAAATCAAAACCGTACGCTGCAACTGGCATGCTTGAAAAAGGCTTGGTCAAAATTGGCGCTGAACAGAAAAGCAACAGAAAAGATAACTGTCCACAGGACCAGAAGACATTTGCATTAACATTGCACTGACAAATGTCAAAACAATAAAATAATAGCCCTTGAAAAGCACGTCTAGTTAATGAGCTTTTTAAAAAATGTCTGGAGAAAGCTTTCTTCAGGGTGGAAAAACATGTATTGCAATGTCATACAATAAATGTGTTTGTTAGCGGTAAAGGATTTTGGTTTTCAAATGATTATGTTCCTAAACTGAGCTCTCATAACGGTTTTCAGGAGCAATGAGGGTATCTTGGAAGAAATGTATAAATTCCGCATCCCTGCAAAGAAGTATGCTTCTTCTCTCCGTAGCTGAAAGATGGCAGAACTTACTTAAAATGTTGGTCACTTTAAAACAAAACAAAAGTCCTTTCTCTGGTCTATGTAAGAGAGCGCCAATTTCTTAACTGCACGTAAATAAAAATGTAGCAGAATAGAAGTATGTTTTCATGAAATGTTGCTTCTGTAAATGTATTTTTCCATGCACTCTAGTAACTGAAGTGCTGCAGTTGAGTGACTTTCCTGAACTGGGTGTTCGATTTGAAGATCATGAAGGTACACGATTATATGCCTGGCAACCTTGTAGGTAGTTGTTTTTGTCATCTTGTTATTTTCTTAAGCTATGGGAAGACGCCAATATGTCAAAGACTAATCTGGAATAATACAACAAACTTGAGGACTGCAAAACTTCAGCACATCTTGTTTCTGATGTATAAAGGTATACTGTATAAATTTATATTGGAACTTTTAGAGAGTAAAAAGGTACATTGGAATCTTCTTGTGTAGTAGTACCTAATTGCTTATCAACTTTTGAGTAGTCATTCAGTTGTATTTGCATCCAGCTTTGCGGAAGAAAAGTTGTCATAGGGTATATAAATATCTTTGCTTTACTCACGTATTGGAAACTCATTCATTTGTTTTTGCTTCTTCAGGGCTTCCAACTGTGGTCAAATTAGTGGATAAGGACACATTATTGAAAGAAAGAGAAGAAAAGAAGAAGGTTGCTATTTTAAGCATTTAACATTTTTCACGTGTAAAGTAAAGATATAAGCTATGGATGGTTTACAAATCATCAAGGAAATACTAAAGGGAAAAAAAAAAACTTAACACATTAGCAATGTGTAAAATAACATACCAGAACTGATATTAAAACTTGAGTGGTGTTCAGGAAAAGGATTTTTGAAAGAATAGTTGCTTGAAAATCTTCTGTAGGATATAATGAATACTTCTAAATTTAAAAAAGATCTTTTATATAAATGAGGGTATTTTGAGTATTACATACATGTTGCCTTATCTCTCTGGAAGACTGATTCCAATGAGAGATTGTTCTGACTTCTTTCATCTGTACAAAACGAAGTTGACATTTTCCATAAAAGTAGACTGTATTTATTTGATGTGTGAGAACAAAATGCCATGGCTAAATCGTAACTAACCTAGCATTGATGAGTGAGATATTCAGGGTGTAGGGACAAGAATTCTCATGTTACTATGTAATTAAAGATTGTGAATCCTAGTTCAGATGCACAAGGGCTGCACAGCAACCCTTTCTGGCTCTTCCTAGCGTTGATGTTTGACTTTGCAACATTTTAAAGCAACATTGCATATGTCTGCCTTCAGTTCTAACAAATAATAACATTCCATCATGACTAGAGATGTTTGGAAGACTTTCCAAGATTTTTCCTTCCCTGAGGACTTTTTTTTTTTTTTCCAAGGGAAAAGTAAAATTTGTTTTCAGCCAACATTTCAGATGTTTTCGTCAAAAACACACTTGAGGACAGTTTGTATATAGGTGCTGAGTGGAGCCTGCCGCTAAAATACCTTTTCCCTGGCAACTATATTCTGTTCAATACTGACAGAACCCTTAAAGAACTAACAGGTCTTTCCTGAGTAAGGGTAGGATAAGATTTTTCAGAGGCTTATAACTTAGCTAAAGTTGGATAGTTATTTCCCTAGGAACATCAAGGGATACAACTGCTCCTCATGGAACTCTAGTGTCCCCGTGGGCAAGGGCTTTAATTACCAGGGAAAATTGGTGGTTTGTTTTTGTTTGTTTTTTAAATGTTTGCACAACACTTTTCCCATGAAATTGCAGGACCCTTTCTTTTGCAGATTTTCTTTCATGGCTATATGCATAGGATGCAAAACACATTAGGAACAGCTGAAACGGTTTTAGCTGTGAATAAAAGCAAATGAAAACAAAATCTTACAATGGGAAATATCAGACAATCCTAATTACAAGGCTTAGTATTTTTACCGGAGGTCATGCTACCAGTTCTGTCCATAATTAGATATCCAGGGGAGCTACTGACTCAGGTTTATAGAAAACAACCAACTGAAGTAGCTGCCTTTTACTTGTTAATACTACCTGTCGTAGGTTGAAGAAGAGAAAAAAAGGAGGAAAGAAGAAGCAGCCAGGAAAAAACAAGAGCAGGAGGTAAGCATTCAGATCATTTTAATCTGGTTTTGAAGAAAAGTCTTAGTAGCAGTAGTCACATGCAAGAAAGATTACATTAGAGCTCAGCCTTTCTGCCCAGCCTCAACTGGACCTCCCTTTTTTTTTTTTTTTTTTTTTTTTTTTTTGAGGTTTTTGTTCTGGTTTCAC